ATCATAGAAGTAGAATTCAGATGAGTCACCAATCTGAATAACATATACTTCTTAATATGTTTACTATGAAGAAAACAAGTAGGATTAGGATATAGTCATAAACTTTGTATTTTTTCTATTATTTACAAAGGGAATGAAAACATATTTTGAGTCTCTCTTTTTCAAAGCTTAAGATTCTGAACTTACCCTTTCGCTTTTCACAGAACCAGTGACATCATCATCATTTAGGTGGCGCTTGAACTTGGGAGGCATATTTTACTCCCCAAGCACTTTTTACTTCCCAGCAAAGTAAGTATTCACCACCTTAAAGAGAAAATAAATGTCATCAGATTTGAGACTTTGGGGTATAAGCTAAAGTACTTAAAACAGTTTGCAAGACCCTGTATGATGGGGCCTCCCTCTCTTTTCTGACTTTAACTACTTCCCTCTCACTTGCTCCACTCCAGTGACTAGGGCCTCTATGCTAGGCCTCAACACATAAGAAATAGCTAAAACCATGAGAAAATGGATCTAACTTCCCCAGGAGAGCACATGTAGGAAATGAGTGACTTAAGGTTTTTATAAAATAAAAAGGCAGATAGCAGAGGGAAAAAATAGAAAGTGGTCCTTTGAAAATGAGACATTAAATGCTTTACAATTTTAACTTGGAGTCAGAAGACAGGGGGATGCTTCTAGCTCTCTTTTAGTCAGTTGCTTAAGCAATGATTCAGTTTCCTCATCTGTAAAGTACTGATTTCTAGGCTTCTGCATGGAGTTGGGATGGTCAAATTACACAATACATGCAAAAACATTCTGCAAACTATAATGTCCCATTGGCGCTCCATGAAAAGGGGTGTTTGGTAAACACTGGTGTGATATCATGACTTATAGTGAGATATACATGTTTGGTCTTTGTCCCCATTTTCTGATATACAGCTCCTAAAACCCTAGGAACCTCCACAGTGCTAAGTGTCTTTTTGTATGTTTATGAGATGACTGGTGGCTGGCAGCCCCTAGGTAGCTTCAGGATGTGGGCTGGTCACAGGTAAGACCAAGGCATGATTAGAGGCCTGGGACTTTTCAGCCCCGCCCTCCCAACCTCCTGGGAGAGAAGAGGGGCTGAAGGTTGATTTCCAGTGGCCAATGATGTAATCAATTACGCTTACTAATGAAGCCTCCATAAAAACCCAAAAGGACACGGTTCGAAGAGCTTCCAGGTAGCTGAACACATGGGGGTTCCTGGAGGGTGGCACGCCTGGAGAGAGCATAGAAGCTCTTCCTCCATTCTTCCGTAACTTGCCCTATGTATCTCTTCCATCTGGCTGTTCATCTGTAAAGTATTTCCTTAAGTTCTGTGAGCCACTCTAGCAAATGAATTGAATACAAGGAGTGGATTGGGGGAAACCCCGATTTACAGCTGGTCAGTCAGAAGCACATAAAACAACCTGGGGCTTGTGACTGGCATCTGAAGTGGGGGGTAGTCTTGTGGGTCTAAACCCTTAACCTGTGGGATCTGATGCTATCTCCAGGTATTAATATCTAGTGTCAGAATTTAATTGAATTAGAGGATACCCATCTGGTGTCTGATGGAGAATCTAATGCACAATTGCCCATTGCTGGTGGGGAAAGATCCCCACACATTTTGGGGTCACTGAAGTACTCCGTGTTGAGAAAGAGTAGGAGAAACTGGTTTTTTTTCCTATACCAAAACAACTGGGTTAAACAAAGCCAGTTGTCTTTGATGCAAAATGTCTCACAAACTTTTATATGCTAATATGCATTGTGACTTTCCAGTGAAATGCTTGAGTATGCAACATATTCAAAAATTTATTGAGAAAAAGTTGTCCTATACAAATAATGAACTTTCAGTATTCTGGGCGAGATAGTGAATATGCAGCAATTCGGAATAGCTAAGATGTACTGAATGTTTTATAATACTATGTGCCGGGCACTGCGCTCAGTGGTACACCTGCATGTTCTCTTTTACTCTTTATGACACTTCTTTGAAGTAGGCACTAAGATACTAAGAGAAAACTAAGGCGTAGTAAAATAACTAACAGTGATAGTCACTTCACTCATTGAAACAGCAGAGACACAGGCCTAATTAGTCAATGGCTGTGCATTATCAGTTTTAATTATTTATTCAATTAGTTGCCCATTGGGTTTACACAATTCTGTTCTAGAAAGATATTAACAGCACTTCTCTGTAATAACCCAGTAGCCCTCTTTCCTCTTCCACAGTAAGAAACACCTCTAAGATCTATAAATTATGTATAGTTAGACATCAGCTTGTTGGTTAATGTTATACACTAAAAAAAGAATAAACAAGCCCAGGGTCTAGTTTCATACACCAAATAAAAATAATATTTTAAGTTAGCTTCCTGTCAAAACAAATTGACACAAACACTTTTCATTGATAAGAAATGCTTCCAAAACAGAATATTAACCACTTAACAAAAAACGAACTTTTGCTGCCTAACTGCTCTAGCATTCTTCATTCTACAATATTTCTGTCACGTACATCTGGCCCATTTTATCCTTCGTACTTTGATTTCAGTATAATTCATTCATGCAGAAATGTTACAGAATGCATGAAAAAGCAGATGACAAGCAAATAACTGAAGAACTTGAGCTTTCTTTTTAATTATATGTGTATTTTATTCATGTTTTAAATCCTACAAAGGGCTGACTCAACATCTCAAAGCAAACAACAGGCAGACTTATATAACATCTTGATGAGACTTACAGTAAAGCTACAATCTTAACGATGAGCAAACCTTATATTCAGGTCCCATCACCCAAGGATCTGCCTCACGAAGGCAAGAAATCTATGTCTGACAAACAGAAAACCCATCAGTAAAGCAGCAGGCAGATTCATTAGCTAGCTTGATGAACTTTGATGTTATTTGCAACTGATTATTTATTAGCAACTGATGATATCTGTACCAGACAACTAGTGAAAATAAATCATGTGCAGAAAGTAGAGTTGAACATATTCTGCCTAAGATTTCTCCTCCAAATAAAACATAAGAATTCAGCTGTTTGTGTCTAGATATGCATGTAAATAAGAGAGCCATCATGATCTATTTCCACATTGAAGGTAGACCACCACTACACGATTCACTTAAAAAGTGTCACATCACCATGTACTTCTTATGTATCAACCTACACCTAAAATTTCAGGTATGCATTTTCGGAGGTAGTATGTTCTCTATTCGATGGCTTTGAATCTGGGCAGAGGTTTCCTTTTCCCAGCTTCCATTCCCTTTCTGACTCCTCTTCCTCTCGTCAGCAGTCTTGCTAGGTGCAATTTCACAAAAATAAAATGACTTGGATGGACATACACTGGAGATGTTATTCACAAAACCTATCAAGTGTTATGATTCACTCCCACCTTCCGGTCGTTATAAACGCAGCAGGGTTGGCGCACTTTCTCCCAATCCTTTAAATAAAGAAACAATTCCGTCCCCTCCAGCAGGCAGCTCCGTTCACCCCTCAAACCCATCTGTCGCGCCAGGCCACGTCCCAGATACCTGCTCCTAACTCTGGCCCTGCCTTCCCCGAGGTACCCCCTCGCACTCCGGGTTGCCTTTCACTCTTAACAAATCTTCCCCATCCACGGCACTGTTCTCCTCCCGTCACCCCAGAGCACCCCTCAATTCCAGTTCTCCTCCCCTTCAACTGCCCCCCCTGCCCCCCATCCGCACATCCCTGTCCTTGTCTTCCCTCCTCACGACACCCCCGGCCGCAGCCTCCCCCACTCAAGGCTCCCTCCCACGGCCCCCGAGGCCCGCCCCCCAGCCCGACTCGGACGTTGGGGGGCGGTAAGGTAGGGGCGTCGTCGTTTCCTTCCTCCTCGCACAGCCCCTCCCGCTGGGAACAGGCCGGCGCCAGTACCTGTGGCTCCCGGGGAACTCCCGGCAGCTCTCCCGGGCGGGCGGTGCTGGGCGGGCGGGGGAAGGAGCGGGAAGCGGAGGAAAAAGGCTGGGAGGGGGAGACAGTGGGCGCGGACCCGGCGTCGGCCGCAGCGCCGCAGCAGCGCCCCCGCTCATCGAGAGGATTGGCGCTCCGCGGCCCGGCGCCAGGCGGAGGGGGCGGGTCCAGGCCGCGGGGATCGTCGAAGGAATCGATTCCGCTGTCTGCTCCACCCAGAGGATCGCTGACCCACGGGCACTTTAGATGCTGGTCCCCAAGATTGTGTTGTGCTTTAGAGAGGGACAACAACGGGTCCTGGAGGTCCCGGCCGGGAACCGGGGTGCGTGGAAGGCGCTCAGGGAAAGTGGATGAGGCTCTGAGAAGTCATTCAGGGCGGAGGGCTGAGGTTGATGACTAAGGTTTATGAGGCGTTTGGAAGGCAGCGTCTTGTGCGACATCCGTCCCCGGGATAAGGAAGTTGAGTAGCAAGAGGACGGCTCACAGCTCCAGCACCTGCTTCGGGCTCCTCTGTGGCCTTTTGTATTTGATCTCCTGTGTACAGAATCAGCGTTAGACTTGGAGAGAGAGGTGTTAGGGTTGCTAGTCCAGGCTCCTTCTTTTAGCTGTTAGGAATATCTGGTCCAGAGAGATTTACTTCAAGTCACACAGCTATCGTGGACAGATTTGGGATGAGGGCTTCTTTTCCCTGTTTCTCCTAGTCTTTACCTAAAATAACTAGATCCATACACCTGAGCCTACAGGTTTCAGACGGGAAATCACCCTCGCATGGCCATTGCTCTACTCTTATCTCCCTGCCGCCATTTGGTATCATATTTAAACCTCCAAGCCTGCAGTAGCTGGCATAGAAATCCAAAAACAATTCCAATTTTGTTTTTGCATTCTCCTATTTGTTTTATTATCCATTCCTCCCACGCCCCACCTGGATTGTTTTATTCATTTTTTTCCTGTCATTTATTTACTACGTATCTTTTTTAACTTAAGATAGTATCTATGGGTCCTTTGTTGATACAGTGTTTTAACTGTCTGAAATACTGTGCCAGGAACTTTCTAAAAATATTATGAAAATAAGAGGGGGTGTTCAAGAACAAGAGTAGACAAGAGAACAAGAGGAGGAAAGCTCTGGGGACACTAAAGGAAAGGAGAGAATAGTCATTCTGTCACCAGCTGATCTTTTGGTTGGTTGACACAAAAAATGCACTAATTCATAGCTGGTCGTAGTGGCTCACGCCTGTAATCCTGGCATTCTGGGAGGATGAGGGGGGAGGATCGCTTGAGTTCAGGAGTTTGAGACCAGCCTGAGCAAGAGCGAGACCCACATCTATGAAAAATAGAAAAATTAGCTGGGTGTAGTGGCATGCGCCTTGTAGACCCAGCTGCTTGGGAGGCTGAGACAGGAGAATAGCTTGAGCCCAGGAGTTTGAGGTTGCAGTGAGCTATGATGACCCACTGCACTGTAACTGGGGCAACAGAGTGAGACCCTGTCTCAAAAAATAAATAAATAAAATTGAAAGATACCTTGGGTAGTGCAATGATGCTCAACTCTACATTAATCACTTGGGGTTGAGTCACCTGGAAAGCTTTTAAAACTACTGATACCCAGGCACTACTTAGATTCTGATTTAATTGGTCTGGGATGTTAAGAAGCAGTGAGCTATTATAGGGTAGTCCAGGGCTCCCCGACCTATGGTGAATTGTATAATTATTTCATTATATATTACAATGTAATAATAACAGAAATAAAGTACACAATAAATGTAATGCGTTTGAATCATCCCAAAACAACCCTCCGCCCCAGTCCCTGGAAAAATTGTCTTCCATGAAAATAGTCCCTGGTGCCAAAAAGGTTAAGGACCGCTGGCGGTAGTCAATTGAAGTTTCTGAAAGCCTGTTATTAGACTACCTGTGAGTTTACTACTCCAGAGCAAGGCTGGCTTGGACTAAAACAACCCACTTAGAAGTTTCTTATAGTTTGCATCTCTGCCTGGGTATGATAGTGAGACTACCCCAAACTCCATAGATGACTGAGAAGTTATTTTTTTCTTCTATAGTTTTTCGTATCTGTATATTTGCTTGTTAGGAGGGGCTTCCCTGCATTGATGCCTTAGCCAATTAGAGCTTTTGTCAGTTACAGCCTCAGCCCTTGTACACTGACAACTTAAAGTAGGATAATTGAGCTCTCCAGGCATGTCACTGTATAGCTTCCATGAATAATTCATTCTTTTTCTAAGTTTTTTTTTTAACCATAATTCTTCAGTTGTGTCAATTATTTTGGTATGATTGCTTAGGGGAGGATAATGTAAGCCCCACCCTTTAATCACCTGAACGAAGTCCCTTTGACTATCCTCATTTGTGAAAGTTTAGAAAATACATTTTACAGTTAATATGAATCAAATGTACCAGTAAGTCTGAAAGATTATAAATATTAATAGTACTAGCTTAGAATCAGAACTCTAAGCAACTTGAGCTATTTGATTATTTCCTCCCCTGTTTTATTTTTCGTGAGCTCCAGTTATTCACCCAGTCCTCTAATTTTCTCTTTTTCGACATGAGATCTTCACCCTTAAGTGGGCCTGGTGTCCTCCTAGCTAGAGAATCTATGTCTTGCCCTCTTCCAAGATTAAACCTCTGGGCTTCTACTTGGGTAGGGAATCTGAGCATCTGACTGATTCTTAACCGGACTATCATCCCTCCTGTGTTTAGCCCACGTCATGCCCTCTTCCGTCATTACCTGCTGCTTCCAATTCCTGAGCCATAACCAGGGTTTAACTGTATAATCAGGTTGCTTCATGCCCTGCTTAGGATTCCTATTTCTCAAGTCTGCTGATGTAATTGACAGTTGATTCATCTACTTTCTAGCTTTCAATATTTTGTTGCTTCCCATGAGGCAGAAAAAGAAGTACAAATCAGGCCGGGCGCAGTGGCTCACACCTGTAATCCTAGCACTCTGGGAGGCAGAGGCAAGAGGATCACTTGAGCTCAGGAGTTGGAGATCAGCCTGAGCAAGAGCAAGACCCCATCTCTACTAAAAATAGAAAAAATTAGCCGGGTGTGGTGGCACACGCCTGTAATCCCAGCTCCTGGAGAGGCTCAGGCGGGAGGATCACTTGAGCCCAGGAGTGTGAGGTTGCTGTGAGCTAGGCTAGTGCCACTGCACTCTAGCCCAGGTGACAGAGTGAGAATCTGTCTCAGAAAAAAAAAAGTGCAAATCAATTATAAGCATGTGAATAAATGTTCAACATCACTCAAAATGTAAATCAAAATAAACAATGAAATACCATTTTTCACCTATCAATGTCTGGAAAGGAAGGAGTTAAGCAGAAGATCTACTATCCATTCTCTCCTTTCATAGGGGAATAGGACTAGGCAAGCAAGCAAGCATGTGATTCTTATAAATATAGGGTAATGACAGACCTCCTGACAAACTAATGGTATTTGCTAGCACGAAAGTCTGTGTATCTGTGGAATTCCTCTAGCAAGGTGTCCCTGGGCTGGGATTGTTTATGGTAAACACATCAGGGATCTATGTAGGTTTGAGGGGTATGACTCCCTGGAAAATACCATGTAAGTTATGTAACTTAGCATAAGATGGAGACAGTTCATACTGAATTGGCTCCTTATTTAGAAGCCACATCTGTTATCCTGGGCCAGGATGCTTCCAAAGCAAGAAGAAAGGACCTGGAGAGTAGCACGGAGAGTCCTGGCCCTCTCCCTACTTTGTGCATTTTCATTACTGGTATTCTTGATATTATTAGTAAAGAGACTGGGTAAGAGCTCTGATTTGTTTGAGTGTGATTTGACAATTTGATCCTCTGTTAGCTCAGTGGCAAAGATCAAAAAACTTAATAATACAATGTTGGGTGTATATGTGATGTGTTGTATGGGGGGCACGGTGGGAGGAACAAGCATTCTTAAACACTGTTGGTGGGACTATAAATTGATGCATTTTGTTAAGTTCATAGTAACAATGTATGTCAAAATTTTATATGAAGTTCCTTTTGCTCTAACAATTCCACTTCTAAAATTTATCCCATAGATATATAGGTTGTATAAAAGTGTTCTGTAAAAATATTCTTTACAGGATTTTTGTAATAGTAAGACTGGAAAAAAAACAACAAAAAAAAAAACCCTTGAACTGTCCCATGATAGGAAATTGCTGAAGTAAGCCATGGTATATCCATTCTCTGGAATAGTACACAGCCGTTAAAATGAACTAGATAGAGCTACATGTGCCAACATGGATTAGCTCTGTAATATGTTGCTGTAAGGTGAGAAAAGCAAGGTACAAAACAATATGTAGACTCTACTTCCATTTGAGAATCTTCCTCTCTCCTTTCCCTCTCTCTCTCTCTCTCTCTCTCTCTCTCTCTCTCACACATGCCCCCCCAGGAGGAGGACTGGAAGTCTGGCATAGAAAGTGTTGTGGACTGAATTGTGTCCCCTTAAAATTCATATGTTGAAGTCCTAACCTCCCATGTGGCTGTATTTGGAGTTAGAGCCTTTAGGACAGTAATTAAGGTTAAATGTGGTCCTAAGGGTAAAACCCTAAACCGACAGGGCTGCTGTCTCAGTGTATGGGCACAGAGAAGAGGTCCTATGAGGACACAGCGAGCAGGTGGAAAGAGAGGCCTCACCAGAAACCAACCTTCATGGCACCTCGAGCTTAGATTTTTAGCCTCTAGAACTGTAAAAAAATAAATTTCTGTGTTTAAGCCACCCAGTCCATGGTATTTTGTTATGGCAGCCCTAATAGCCTAATACAGAAGAAAACTTTTCCTTGATGTGTGATGTTTTGTACTATTTGAATATTTTTACCATGTGTATCACTATTTCAATTAAAACAACAATAGAGACTCTTCCACTAAAATTGGAACCAGCTGGTCAGTTAATTTAAAAAGTCAGTTAAAGTGGTACATATAAAAATGGCAAATATATAACCTTTTCATTTTGACTTAAATATATAATTATACATACATTCACTCACCAGTCTTTGAGTTAGGCCCAAGACCTTTTATCTGAGCATGAATTTGCTGGTTGGAGCACCCCCTGTCTTTATTATAAATTGCATTGTTTATGATTTCCAGTTTCATTTTCTCCAAAGTAGATCAGGAACTTAAAGAAACCTTTCAAGCAATTTGAGTGCCAAGTCAGT